AATCAATACCAAAAAGCTTTTATTTTGGGGGTTTAAAATCACAAATCACTGTAGGAGAATGCCACGTTGCCTTAGCTTGGTACTACTGAAGATGCCCATAGCAATTATTTTAAGTCCTATTCTTATGCAGTTTACTTTCAAAGCAATGAAAATAATCACAAACAAAATAGTACAGTGGTTTTGAATCGCTCCTGTGTTTCTCCCGAGCAGATCAGTTTTCGTTTGCTACACAGCATTCCTCCTGAATGCCTAGTAATTCTATACATATGATTCCTTAATAAACACTAAACTAATAGATCATAGAAAACTAAAAGCTTATAGCAGGTGCCTCTAGACGTATTTACATAAATAGCACAGTCTTGCAAGAAAGACCAAGATCTCATTATAGTGGAATGCTTTTTCCACAACGCTGGGTCCATGCCTCATTTGTCGGATTAACCCCATTTGAGGAGAAATTTGAGTTTGTGGTCCATGCGTTTTTAAAAAAAGGGAATTAAGCAACTTGTAAAAGCTCTTTTGAAATTAATCTAATAACCCAGTGGCTCTTCGGCTAAGTGCCTGGTCCTGTCTGAAATACAGTGGGTAATAGGCTTTGTTTCCATTTCACCTCCTTTCAGCACTTTCATCTGCTGGCTCTGTCGGGCAAACGTTCCCCCCAAATTAAAAAATGAAACTGCATCATAAATAAGGTATTACCAAATGGGGAGTAGATTAAAGATTGTCTCAGCAATGCTTAAATTAAATTGACAATGCAGAGACCATAAACTTCTGGCTTTAAAAATGAACTATTTCTTTATTAACTTTTAACAAGTGTGTGAGTCAATGTATTGCTCTGCACAGAAAATATGGTCGGGGTCCGATATTTTTTAGTAGAGAATTATCCCTTTAGAAAATTATTCCATAAAGATGCCAAAGGGAGATTAAAAATGCTGCAACCGTAAGAATCACTGAACTTTTAAGGAGATGATACTGTAATTTTGTATTCTCTAGAAAAGAAAGCTGCTGTCAGACCTCAGGAAATAGTTCATTTTCCTGAAGATGCACACACGAAGTCTTAATCTTTCCACTCTTATTATCTGTTAAAGGAGGCTGGGTTGTAGTGGTAATAGTAGACTGCTTGGATTTTTAATCTCCTGTCACAATTCAAAAAAGATTTCCTCTAGACCAAAAAAAAAAAAAAAAAGAATAAAATTACACTAAAATGATCCTTTTCAGAGGATACCTTTCAAAATAGTGGAGATCATGACTTTTTAGTGTTCTTCCAAAGTAATTACACCACTTCAACACTAGTGACTATGAAAAAATAATTTATTTGGTGGTTCGTTCAGTCTCTGGGGAAAATGAATTTAGCTGTACCTGCTTTAAATATTTAGTTTGTGCCCAGGAATCAAGTTTCTTCTTTCCTTTCAACTGCATACTTTTTTAATGGTCCTCAAGTATATAGAATTGAGGAATGCCCAATTCATAGTTTATACATGATTATCTCCAGTGAAATACCCATTTCAAGACAAAGCATTTGGTATAAGGTATTGCTCAGCAAATCAGAACACCTCAAATGTATGTATCACTTAAATGTTTAAATTTAAAAATTACCTAAAAGTGAAATGAATGAAAATATTCTGAAGTTAGTTTGGATCCATAAAATTTGGATGCTTCTAAGATAGAGATTCAACTTATAAGAACTTTTTGTATAACTTTTTGGGAGCTGAAAATGAACACTAAACCAAAATTTTTATACTGAGTTAGAATATAACACCAGGTGTTATTCCATCTGAAAATGGAGTTGATTTGTATCCAAACCTCCCTATAGGCACCTAAACTGTAAAGCTAGGAAAGCTCTTACAAAAACATATATTTTCTGGGCCCAGGTCCCCTCTCTTATGGCTCTATGAAACCAGTTTTGATTCTCCCTCATTTGATTTAGTCTTTTATTTGGGAATGAATGTTTTCCAGGCCTTTCAGAAGAAAGTGCCATGAAGTGAAGGGGCTTTAAACTTATGCACAATAGCTTAATGTTTTCAAAATTTCAGCTTATTCTAGGGAACATCTCAGTGATGAAGAAACTTTCTCCTTTGAATAGAGGGCAAAAAAAAAAAGTGAGAAGGGCCTCAAAGTTCTTGAAACAACCCACGAAGGCAATCTCCCTATACTTAATGAATTTTAGTTTCTCAGTGATTAAAGCAAATATTAAAACAACTTTACCTCTTCTCAATTTCCTCCTTTCTCATCACAAACATCTAATATCAGGACAGAGACAGTGTGCAAACTGAGCTGAAAGCTAATGTTTTCTCCAGTCATTCATGTCAACCCAGGTTCTTGACCGGATGTCTTGGTGGAAGGAAGTGAGACCAGCACAGAATGATGGAACTATGGCTCTTATTGTTTCCACGACATCAGGCAGCTTTAATTTTAGGAAAATGTTACTCAGTCTTGACATTTATAGGACCCTAGTGCAAAATATTCAGCTCCAATCTATCCAACTTCTTAGAGATTCACTTCATCATCAGCTTTTGTGGTAAGAGATTTAACAGTTATGTACTTAGTCATATTAACCTGCTCTTGGTATAACTGTTCCATCTTCAGGGTGGAATAAGATAACTTCCAATTACACCTCAGAAGTTCCACTACAGAACTTCTTACTTTCACTTAGGAGGAGAGCGTAAACCTTACCCTTAAACATGGAAGTTGCTGGCATCAACCCACACACATTCCAATTAATGCCAAAATTTTAGAAGGAAGACTTCTGATAATACTTTTCTTTTTACAGGACTATCTTTCTTGATATACTTTATTACATGACATGAAATAAAAGGATAGAGAGCTCTTAAATTTTACACTAATTTGTGTGATTAAGGTGCTGTTCTATTGCTATAAATAACTAGTTCTTATTAACTTTCCTAAGCTATCTTTTTTTCAACACTTACCTGTGACTATGATATATATCGACTCATTACAGTGAAGCCCTCCTGTAGTATTTTGTCTGCGTTCCTGTGTGTGTGCATGTCTGTGCGTGCGTGAAGAACTAGAAAAGAAAACCTTGTAAGCAGGAAACAGCCCAACCATGAAATACTTGTTAGTATACAGGGAAGTCCATCCATTCAGGAAACACAAGGAATAATATGGTTGTAAAAAATTTTCACTCTCATTGGGTAACCCCAAAGACTATATTTCTCTTATTTTAAAGGTGCTGTCTTTACTTCCTGGGTAATAAACCTATTTAGAACTTAACTACTAAACAACAGTGTGTTTCCAAATAGAAAGTATGTGCAGATAGGACATTATCCCCAAATGGAAATGGCACTAAGATTATCTGTAGAAAATTACCATTAATTGAAAATAAATCCCTAAGACTAATAATTGAAGTCAGCGTATTCTTAAGTACATATTATATACATACAGAGCCTGTTTTTTCCCAAGTTTTCAAAACAAGGATGTTTCATTACAGTACTTTGGAAATTTCTGATGACTGCACAATGTAAGAGTCTAATGACAAAAATCATTAGAACAGCATATGAAATAAACGATCTGAACCTGCCAAAAGGATTAGTTCAGTTCAGGGTCCTCTGGATGATAACTATGATGCTAATTGCATAATTAGAGAAATAATGGATTTGAAGGATTGTACATTACTTTTCTGTTGCAGTTTGAGACCATTACTTTATCATTCGTTCAAAGACAAGGAGGGCAGGGATTGCCGTGGGAACAAAGTTAAAAACAATGAAAAAATTTTAATGCTTTTGAAAGTCAGCTATCATTTTAATTACAATCTTAAACACCCTTGTTGAAGGGAATCCAAGTTTTCCCTTTTTAAGTGTTTTCCAAACATGTAATATGTAGGTTTTCACTGTGATTTCAGTGTTCATCTGTATGTATCATGTTATATAAATATACGGATATTTCCAAATGTGAAGGACAGGGTGTCAAGTTCAAGTGTGACTGGCTCTTACCTCCCCATTAGACTCTGAGAGAGGGATCTGAGTTTTATTTAATCTACCTTCACTAATGCAACTTAATTGTATAAGACGTATCTGAAGAATATGAATTATTGTACTTCACACTGCTACTTTCAAGTATATTAGAATAATACTGACAATTACAGACAAGGAGTTAAACTTTGTCTCAGAAAAGTTCCTTCAAGAACTTTCTAAACAATTTAGACTTATTTGTAATTAGCCTACCGATGGCTGAAATAATTTCAAGTGATCCATGATACATTTGGTGGCCCAAACTTTAAAATATGCTAAATATTTCCTTTGTTAACATTGATTATCTATTTTTCTTTTCCCTTTATATGGTGCAAGGGCAAACTTTTGTATGTCTAATATATAACAAATTATGTGTCAGTGGCAAGGAATGAGGTCTTATTAAGATTTTTTTTTTTTGGTTATCTTTGAATGTTACCATTTAATTGGCATCATTTCCTAAAGAAGAAGGCGAATCTCAAAACGTTGGTGGATCTGATGTTTTGAATAGTCACTGGTGCCAGAAAAAGATCATGAAGGATAAACAGGACTGGCAAATATCATTTGAAATTCTTTGTAACAGAAATACACACCCATATATAGTTCATCATCTCCTTGTGAGCTGATATACCAGGAGCAGTGGTTCCTCCTTCATTTCTTTAACTAAAACTATATTCTTATAAAGTATAATCCCTTATCCCATTAGCATGTGAAATGTACAGAGCAGTCAGCTGACCTTGAGTCAATGCAATGTACTATGAGACCAGGCCAGTGAAATCGAGCATGTTCCAAACCTGCACTAAGAGAACAGGGGAAAGGATTACTCCCCATCCTCTCCTCCAGCACGGTGCCTGTTGGGCTGACATGGTTAACTGGATGCGCTAAAAAATAAACATTTGCCTCTCAGAAGCTCATAAAAGTGTACTAGAAAAAAAGTCTCTAACATTGGATCCGCACGGACTGCAGCCATTAACTTTTGGAACGGGTAGAACAGAGAACCCTTCACGGAGCAGTGGATAAATAGAAAGAAAGAGCCACTTCACATGTTTCAGTGTCATACTGGAAAATGAAAAAGGCAACATATTAGGAGTCCTTGTCACTGTCCACCCCTCCGTACATATCTGCGAGCTTTTTGAACCGAGGCCCCCAGTCACTAAGGTATTCATAGTCCTGGTCTCCATCCGTGGTCACCGACTCCAGCGAGCTCAGGGAATCGGCCACCGAACCGGTACCCTCGTAGGCGAAGGTGGCCAAGGAGTCGTAGGGCGGGGCAGTGGGGTCCGTGTCATTTTCCTTTAACCTTTGGTTAATGAAATCTCGGACGTCGGTGTTATCACAAGCTGCTGGAGTCCGTCGGGGTAGAAAAAGGGTTTCGGGCACAATGTCCCTGCGTAATTTGCTGTCCTCTATGGCTTCGGGATTCCTCAGGGTGCCGATATCAAAGGCCTGGGTGTCCTCCTCTCCCCCACCTTCGTCGTTGTAACTGACAATGTTGTCTCTGATGTCCTCTTTGGAAATGATCAAAGGTTCTTTTTTCCGCTGTCGCCTGAGAGCTGCAAACAACACCACTGTCACTGGAAGCAGAAACAAAACAGCGAGGGAAGGGAAAGTTAATTTGCCGACCAATTAACATCAGGAAGAAACACTGCTCCAAAGTGAAGTTTTCAAAGTTTTCGAGGAAACTACTCGAGGCTCAACTTTTGCTTCCTTAAGGTTGCACGTGCCTCCACGCATGATCAAACCATGACCCTCTCCCACCCCCAAATCGAGTAACTATTTGAAAGAAAGTTAGGATTTAAGTAGAGGATAGAACACCTTCATGTTTTGTCAGTAGTTCCTTCTTGCTTTGAAATGGCAGACTAGTTTCAAGGTAAGGGAAAAAAAAAATAATAAAAAAAGAGCTCAAACACAGTGAGAGTACTGCAATGAGTGAAAATTATGCTGAACACCTGAAATGCTCTGAAGCTGTTTATAAGTACAAGGCTGGCACCTTCGGGGATGTGTTGAAGGGTTTGCATAACTCCACTTCTAAACTAACTTTTGCACTGATGCCTTCTTTGTTTTTCCCGAGAAAAGTGTAAAGTTAGTTTAAAACCCAAAGTAGAGACGTGGATGTTTGGATACCTTTCTTACATATAAGGACAGGTAATACCTGCAGAGACCCAGATACAATTCAGAAAGCCGTTTTGGACTTCAAGATCAGCCAGTTTGAAGGGGGCAGGTAATAGTGCACATGCCAGATTATCTGTGTTTAGGCTAAGCAAAACAAACACATTTGAGTGGGAACTTAAAAAATCTCTCAGAGTTTCATGTTCTGTAAGTCTGTTGACCGGAATGTTTGTTCTTTTGGTTTTTCCTAATTCGGATTAGAGGCAAAGCAAGAGCTGTGTTTAAATAGCTCCTGACGTGGGCTTCCCTGGTGGCGCAGTGGTTGAGAGTCCGCCTGCCGATGCAGGGGACACGGGTTCGTGCCCTGGTCCGGGAAGATCCCACATGCCGCGGAGCGGCTGGGCCCGTGAGCCATGGCCGCTGAGCCTGCGCGTCTGGAGCCTGTGCTCCGCAACGGGAGAGGCCACAACAGTGAGAGGCCCGTGTACCGCAAAAAAAACAAAAACAAAAACAAATAGCTCCTGACGTTTCTTCATAGCTGGTTGGGTAGAAAACAGCTGGCTACCTGTAAAGAGACACATCCATGAATGAACACATAGATGGGAAAGTGAAAACGTACTGACAGCTTGGAGAGAAAACAGCCATCCAGGGCAGAAAATGCATTGTTAACCTGGGGTTGTCCATGGGAGATTAGTACCAGTAACACCTCTTTACTCATCCATAACATGGTCCAGTTTTTATGAGCCGTGCAAATTGACTTATCACAATAAAAATTACAGAATAATGGCTTTTGGTGGATGTGTATATCTATCTCTATATTAATGGATATAGGCACACCCAGGTGTCTATATATTTAACATTTCAGATGTTAATAGTATTAATAATTGGTGATCTATCGAGATAGTTCTATGTGCCAAGCACTGTGCTAAGTGCTTTACATACCGAATCGAATTTAATTATCATAATAGTCTTACAAAGTAGGTACCATCATTATAACTCCATTTTACATAAGAGGAAATTGAGGTTTAGAGATGTCACGTGTACAAACAATTGAAATCTAGGTCAGTCAGACTAAAAAGCCTGTACTCTTAATTACCCTGCTTTGAAGCATGTTTGGATTGTAGACTATTTCTAAAGGATATGCAATTTTGCTGTTTTCAAGCATGTGGTTGTGTAACGGTACACATTCTCTTTTGCTGCCAGAGAGTATCCTGATGCCTCATTTATCCCTTTCATTCAGGGTATTTATTTACTTGTTCATTCAATAAATATTTATTTAGTGCCAACTCTGTGCCAGGTATAGTTCTAAGCATTATCAATAAAAAAAAAAAAAAGATCAAGAGCCTGTCTGAAAAAGGGAGGCAGGAGTGGTGGTGGTGGGGTGGCGGATAGAGACAGAAAAAAACAATGTATGTAATAAATAAGGAAATTATTATAAGGTGATAACTGCAATGGAAACAAGAAAAAGTAGGGCAGAGTAAGGAGGATGGGAAGGACTTCTGTGTATGTTTGAGGGGCTGTATATATTTTCTGGGGGGGAGACTGCATCATTGAGGAAGTAACATCTGAGCAAAGAGATGAGGAGTTATGTAAGGAACTATCTGGAGAAAAGGAGGAAGGCCACGGGGTGGGGGTGTGCCTGCAGCGTGTGAGGTGCCGGGGAGACGAGCGGAGTAGGAAGGGCCATGTCAAGTGGGGCTGTGTGTTCTTTGTACGCCTTCACTTTACCCGGGGTTCCAGGTGGGTGGAAAATTGCACGGCTCTGGATGGAGGGATGCTCTTAATCTACCTTTTATGCTGGTTTCCAGTGTGACGCGGATTTGCAAAACAGAGGGTTGTAAATAAGGACAGCCTTTGGGATAGAGAATAGAATCAAGCTAACTGTCGCTCAAAGAAATAAATTCTGATGGACACAGGTTCATTCCCACGTTTAAGGCAAGATAGCAGGCATTTATCACTTCCTGATTTTTCCGCAGCTTAAGGTGCCTATATCTTGTCTTTTACTCCTGTGCACACCTGAAAGTGCAATTGTCTAGAAGACAGAGGGCACATTCAGTAATTTAAAGGCATTTGTGCACTGCCTAATTCTCCTACTGTTACAACTGCCTATATCTTTTCTTATTGGCCCAATGCACATCTGAACAGAATTTCTTGAGGGTGTAACTGTCTAAAAGGAAGATCTTTTTCAAAGCTAATTTTTATAAACCGAAAATGTGAATTCTAAGCACGTGGAACAAAAACACTCTGAGAAAGTAAAATGCTGCCTTCTCTGTAACTGAGCCCTTCCCTTTTCTCTACCCCCTTGAGTCCAGAGGACAGCAGTGAGATATTTGGGGCCAGCGTGCTTGGACAAATTTGTGTTCAAATCCCATCATAAAACTGGAAGGTAGCAAGGCATCTGAGATCAGCAGATCTAGGTTCACTTAAACGATCCGACCTTTCTAAGTCAGTTTCCTTCTCTGTAAAAGAGAAGCGATAACACAGTGCCCAGTGTGAAAGTTATTATGCCAACTCTAAAGCACCAAAGAAGCACGAGATGTAGTAGTTGTTTTTACTGTTGCTTTATTGACAAAAACAACAGATGCCACATGATCCACTTTCTTGACGGCAGATTTCCTCCTATATCAATGTGGCTTTCCTTCTCTTACCAACTCTCAGGTTTGCGGCCACTTTCTTCAATGGTCTCATTTTTAGTTCGAGCTCTCTTTCAGCCTGAAAGTTACACTGCATTCTATAAGTTCATGGAGAAAATAGAGTACAGTGTGGAAGCACCAGGGGTCGGCAGGGTAAAGACCTGCGTTTGGAACTTAGCTCTACCACCTGTTAGCTGTGTAACTTGGCTTCACACCCTGGGGCCTCAGTTTTCATATGTAAGATGCAGATAAATATAGACTAGATGGTTCTGAGGATTAAGTGAGAAAGACATTTGTAAAGCATCTTGCCCAGTGTCTAGCCCATGCTGTGAGCCTAGTAAAGATTAAATCCCATTTTTCTCCTTTTTAATTAGGTACAGAATTCCAAAGAGACTAGACAAGATGTGGGAAACACTGAGGCAAATTAGAAGTAATGAGGAGACAGTGAAGTCACTGGAGGGAAAAGATGAAAAAAGAGGACATAGGGAGCTGGTTAGAAGGATACTAAGGGGGAGGACAAAGTGGGTAGATGATGAGGGAAGGGAAGCATGACCTCTGTGAGGTGAAGGCTGGCTCTTCCTCCATAGACCATGAGTCCTTGGAATTCTACCTGAGTATGGCATGCCAGTCTAGCCCTTCTAAAAATAACTCTTTTTTTTTTTTTTTTTTTGCGGTACACGGGCCTGTCACTGTTGTGGCCTCTCCCGCTGGGGAGCACAGGCTCCGGACGCACAGGCTCAGTGGCCATGGCTCACGGGCCCAGCCACTCCGCGGCATGTGGGATCTTCCCGGACCGGGGCATGAACCCGTGTCCCCTGCATCGGCAGGCGGACTCTCAACCACTGCGCCACCAGGGAAGCCCATATAACTTCTTTTTTTTAATCAAAAAGAATATTCATATCTTTCTCTTGGAAAACAATTTTTACAGACTCACACCATTAGAACACTGATTTGTCTTTGCATACTGTCAGTTTTTATTTACCCTCATATCTTAAAATACTTCCCCCAAATCTTAGCTGACAAAGAGAATCACAGTTCTTTAGCCGAGTTTCAACTCTGTTGTAATTAGCAGAGTTGATCTGGAACGTGAAACTCTTGAACAGGGATCCCTAGGCTTTCTCTTCTTGGAGAAATGGAGGTTTTCCTTTCCTCTTTTCGAAGTCACTGTATTGTCATTTTTTAAAAAGGAGTTTTTCTCCTTCTGTGAAATCCGGGTTAACTCTGGCTTATTTTTTCCCCCCATGGTGTAGGCAAGCTTCTCAAATCTTAACTTTTTTTTTCGAAGGGCTGCATTAACTAACATTTGATTTCTTAGTTCACAACAGTCAAGGGACTTTGGAGCATTTTGAGCTCAACTTGTGCACTTAATTAGTTGGTTGGGGGTAAAAATTTCCTTTGATTCACCATTAGATCTTGATTTTCACTATTCATTCATTTCTTTTAGGTCAAAGATTTATTTCCTGAGTCACAAACGTTATTTATTATTGAGAGTCTGAGAAATAATAGACGTTGTGTATGTGGCAATCAGAGAGCAATGCTAAGAAGGTAGTTATTTAAGTGGGTGGATCCAAATAAGTTTTCTGAGATAAAGAAAATTTCACCACGATTTATTCTCCTGTATGAGAAAAAAAAAAGTCATCACATTTCTCTTTCCACTTTCCCATTGATCTTTAAACTTTACCTTTGTAGAAATGGCCTTCATTACATACCCCATGTCCAATGACTTTTGTTCTTTGAAAATTTAACGTTTGCCAGGTTAAATATTAAACAACAAATGAAATGGAAAGGGCATATTTATATTGCCCTCAAATCCCCCTGTGGTTCATTCCCAGTCTGATAGAAAAGAGATTGTTTTGGTGGAATGACTCCCTGGCTAGGGAAAGACATGGGCAAGTTTCACAGCTGTTCATTCTCCAAAGCCATTTTCAAGCAAAAACTAGTTCATGGGTGAACCACATAAGATTCTCAGCACATAACTCTCCTCACCTAGATCGGGCTGTATCCCTTAATGGGGGAGGCGGATAAATCTAGAGAGCCACAGTAACAGTGTGTGCCCCTCAGCACGGGGAGATAGGATGCAGGGAGAAGCAGTTTACCTAGTAGGGTCACGATGCACAGCAGGATGGCAACCAGAGCCCCCGTGCTCAGTCCCGTGGGGTGGACGAGGGCCTCCGCGTGGCAGGACTGCATGTTCCCTTGGTGGTCACATGCACAGACCCGGACAGTCACTGTCCCAGTGCTGCTTTGGACTGGGTAGTCATTGTCTGATATGACCACAGGCAGGAGATAGGTGCTCATCTCGTGTCTATTGTAGCCATTTTTCCGAGTTAAGATTCCCGCTGTGTTGTCTGGAACCGGAAAGCAAAGTGGTGAAAGGAAGTGGAAACCATGTTATATATTGGATCAATTGGATGGGAGTAGACAGATAATAGATGCAGATATAGATATATAGACAGACAAGGCAACTTGGGCTCATTTACCTTTGTTGTCTTGAATGGTAAAGTTTGAGCCACTGGCTGCTTCTGGGGCCAAAGAGAACGAGAATTGGTGCCCGCTGTAAGGGTCATCCTTGTCAACGGCTCGTAGGGTCTGAATCAACTAAAATTGAAACCATAAAGCTGCCATCAAGTCTTGCTGACTCAACAGTGTTTCTTACAGTTTTGCAGTAAATGGCTTGATCAAATGATTTCTAATTTTACTTTTAAAATGATAGCCTCTAGAAAATTTACAATGAATCCACTGTATGCAAAGAACTAATAGGCTGGAAGTAGAGCCAGGGACAGTACTTTGTTGTGGAGCTGTCCTGCGCACTGTAGCATTTTTAGCAGCAAGCCTGGTCTCCTCCCTTCAATCCAGCAGTACCCTCTTCCTTGTCACAATCAGAAATGTCCCCAGACATTGCCAAATGTCCCCTGGGGGGCAGTATCACCTGGGTTGAGAAACATGGCCCTAGAGTGATACCAAGCTATAAAATATCACAATGATCTACGACAATATTGCAGCTTAAGTAAATAGAGGCACTTTTTGGACAGTCTGCTTAGAAATTCAATCTTGGCATATACATAAGCCGTCAAGCTGCAAAAAAAGCTAATTTGAATATAAAACACACAACTTCAGCTTCTCATTTTAACATGCATTTTAACAGTGCACTTCTATTTTGACAAACTGTAACATAGTTTTTATATCACTGTCAGAAAAGACTGATTTCAGGTGGGGACAAATGTGTAAAACAGTAAAACATTCATGAATTTGTACTGCTTGTACAGATGGGCAATGTAAGTAAGTGAAACTATGAATTATAGGCAATTGTAAAATATGTTCTAGCTTTTACTTTCCAGTATATATGGTAATTAAAAGTATCTGCTCACCAGTAAAGATTTTTCCAATAAATCTGTGACTAATCTATTTTATGTCAAAACTTAAGACTGATTTGGGATCAGCATCAGTCTTTGAGACTGATGAACTTCCTGTTCTTAAAAACTGTTTGTTCTCTTATGCAAGTTAAACATTCATCGTGGTTCTTACTTGTAGTAATAATTTTGTTGGCATTTATTTCATAGATAATTCAAAACTTGCCCTCAGCTCTGTGTATCATCTGAATTATTAGAAGATCTAAATTAATCTGAGTTAATTAATTTACTTTCTTATGAAACTCACCTGATCTGCTTTTGCTTTTTCACAGACAAAGGTTTCATAGAATTCAGCAAATTCTGGAGGGTTGTCATTGACATCTAGAACTTTAATATACAGCGGTACTCGGCTGCTTTGCTTTGGATTATCTGCAAAATGCCCAAAAGAAAGGAATAGGCATTTATATGTTGATGGCCAGCCCCTTTAGATGATGGTTACTCACTCCTTTCTTATTCATACATAGATTCCCCAAGGCTCCTGTGAGTACCACAGTGAATTATGTATCATCATAGCCACAAAATAGTAGAATTAGATTTTTTGGTACTTCTGGAGTTGGATACACCTGACGGAAATATCTAGGAGACAAAGCTACTTCTATTGGTACAGTGCAACTGTATAACGAACCCCAGAGTAACACAAAATAAAGAAAAGCTCTCCAGGAAAGGAATTTTAGAAGCATATTTTAAAGGAAGCCAAGGAAGTAGGCAGATGGGAAAAATGTGGGCAGAAGGAAAAAGGATGGGATAATAATGATTGTTAATGGTCTTAGTTTTTTAGTTTGAGAGCTAGACATTGTGCTGAGCACTTTGTTATATTTTATTTAATCCTTATAAACTTCTGAGATAAATATAATTATTGCCCCCATACTATAGATGAGGAAACACATCATATTATAGATGAGACACAGAGAAATTAGGTAACTTGTCCATATTCACAGAGATAGTAAGGACTGGAGCCTAGACTCAAACTTGGGTCTGTCTGACTCCAAAGCCTAGGATAATGATAGAGCAGAATCAGTGTTTGAAGACCTGAGATAAATGAAGTATTTTGGCTGTCATCTCTGATAATCTCCTGGGTAGTATGGAAGGCAGATTCCTGTTCTAAGAATCAGGAGCTGGAGTCTCTTACCTCAGGTCTCTTCACTCACTTCACTCATGTCTATTTGTTTGTTCTCTTCATAAATATTTAATGAGCATCTAATATCTAAGTAGTGCCAGCCACTGTTTGGGGTACATAACAAAGATCCTGCTTCCTGGAGCATTGTTCTTATGGGGGTAGGCGAACTGTAAACACATAAATATATAATGTGCCAGATGGCAAATGCTATGGAGAAATTAAACAGGCAAAAGGGACTGGAGAGAGATGGAGGTGCTGCTTTGTATGGGATGACCAGGATTGGCTTCTCTGATGAGATACCATTTGCATAGAGATATGAATGAAGAGAAGGATTAAGCCATGTGAATATTTCCGGCTCTCGAGGTAGAGGAAATGGCAGGTGCAATGGCCCTGGAGTGGGAGAGAGTTGGTTTAATACAAGCTCTTGGCTCTTGGCATCAAAGGTAGTTAAGAAGTTTAGACAATAAGATTCTTAGGTTCCTTTGCATCTAAAATTTTGCTCACATTATTCTTCCCAAGTTAGAACTGCAGAAGATGAAGTTTTAAAAGATCTTTATCACTAGTACTTTCAGAGATATCATAGAAACATTAAATCTTAAAAACAGAAATTTTTAGGTACAAAGTTTAAAATACACACAAGATGACTACTGCAGTAAAAAATAAAATTTCATGATGTTATAAAAAATGATCTTTTCAGTGGGAAATAATTTTGTAATTTTAAAGCTTGAAGTATTCTCAGTCATTGGTATCCACATTAGTCCACATAAATTCTGAAAATCAAATTCCTACCTAACAAATTTATAATGAGGAGTTCTTATCACTATCAGAAAGCAATGCTTCATTTTGTCCACGTTGGTTGTTATTCTAGTCAATATCTTTCAGTCACTTCAAATCTCATGAGTTATGTTGACAAAGAATATTACTGTATTATACCATTTGATATGGCGTATTTCACACTAGATACCCCACTGAGCTAAAAATGTTTGAACTTTTAAAATCAAAAACAAAAACAAAAAAAATGAGCTATAATTTAGAAGCCTATTTTCAAACATTTCAATGTTATTTTAAAGATCCTTTTTCTTTCATCTACTTAGGTCTATACATTGTGTTTACATTATACAGTTTTCACTGTATATAACCATTTTATTTGAAGTATTCCTTTGGCCCTATTTTTCTCTGCCTTAAATTTCACGGGGACTGCCATAAAATTCATTCTAAACATTGTGTTGATTAGTATTGGTGATTAGTAGTAGTCACTTTGGTGTACCATGAAAAAGTTACAATTTATATCTCTTAATTCTGTAACAATTTTGAAATAGACATTCTACAGAAAGCTAAAGGATGACTATCCAGAAGATTTCTAAACAATGACTACATTTTAGAATATACTTGATCTCCACCCCCTCCTCCCGGCCACACACACACAACGTCTGTGAGCCCATTTCTTCTAGCTGCTTCTGTAATGTTCTGATTTATAAGCTTTTTGGAATCAAATCCAACATGTACCAATTCAACCTAGGTTGACAGATGCATTCCTGTTTTATTGTTCCCAAACTGCAGAACTTCCACAGTTGCTTCTGCGTTTAGGAACGAACCAACATGTGTCTAGAAGAAACATTAGTGCAAATCATTGCAGAGCTCTTTCCCTCAATAAGTATCGAGTGGGATCATCAATACATGGTGACGAGTTTCAGCCGCATTTCACTAGCCCTTGTGGAGATGCTCTCTCTGTCAATCAGGGACAGCAGTGGTAAAAGGGTGGACTTACTGATCTCTGTTGCTATCACTGTAATGTTGTGCCACAGCAATGTTTCTCGGTCAAGAAGTTTCGATGTAAAAATTGAGCCATTTCCAGAATCGATGTTGAATATTCTGTCCATATCTGTGTGTCGATCAACAGAATACCTGATAATGCAGAGCAGAATTTAGAAAGGTTTTCTTTGATTTGCTATTCTCGCATCCTAAAACTATTCCCAGAAAATCTGTTACGTGAATTTTTTTCTACCTGTAGCACGTATTTGAATATCGGTAACTTAATATTAAGCAAAATATTCTGATAAGTTATTTCTTTACAATTGAGGTCTTAATAGTACACCCACTAGACAAGTTGCATGATTCTGAGTATCATTACTAAAGTTTTATTTAAAAAAAAATGTAATTTAGATCAAGTTTATATAGTAATTGTTACATTTTAACTTAAGTTTTTAGACATTTGGTTAGGACTTTGTGTGTGTGTGTGTGTGTGTGTGTGTGTGTGCATAAGCAGGGTTATTGGCTACTTTTCTATTATCCATTTTATTTAAAAAATTGTTATGTTGAAAAAGCAAAAGATGGTTAATGTGGCTGAGGTTAGTGAATCTGGAGAGGGAAATAGCAGATGAGCTTGCGGAGAGATCCACAGTCGGGACTGCAGAAGGATGGGCTGGCTGTGGGGAGGAGTTGGAGTTTATTTGAACTTGATGTGGATCTTCCAATGGATTTTAAGCAGAGGAGTGTCACCATCTAACTCATGCTTAACAAAGATCACTGGCTGAATTGTGGAGAACGGTTGGACGGTGCTGTCACAAATGATAGGAGTGAAGAACAGGATTTGGGGAAGATCATAAGTTCCAGTTTTGATATGTTGAGGCTGAGGTGCCTGAGGAACGTTCAGGAAGCTCAAGATAAACATCCAGACTGACAAGCTAGATGTTCTATTCAACACTCTAGGAAGAGAAAGGGAAAAATGCAAAGAATGGACTTGCTTAAAGGATGAACGGGAGAATGGAGACCCACAGGGACTAGAACAGTGCCCAGAGTAGAGTAGGAATTTGATAAATCTTTAAAAAGGAGAGTTTGGAGAATTCAAAGAAAACCAAGAGGTGCTTTAGAAACCAAAACAGGACAGAGTCTTCAACGCTGGAATTGATGAAAGACTAGTAGATTTTGAGAAATGTTATCTTCTTTATAAATTTATTACTAGTGTCTGGATAGTCATATGTAAGGGGAAAATATGTATACGCCGTTTTATGGAGGGAGCATTAAAGAGAAAACTCAGAAGAAAGTTGATATGCGAAGGCCATTATGAACAAAAAAATTGCCTATTTCAGCTGAATTCTCAAAATGTACATCATGATAGGAGATTTTAAAATGTCAACTCAGTAGAAATATATTTTAAGTAAATGTCCTACCTAGTCATACACATGTGGAAGTATTATGAATGCTTTTTAAAAAAACTCTTGTTACTAACTTGCAAATAGTGTATCATGTTCCAAGATTCTATTTCAATTAATTATTTTGTTTTAAAGTACTACTAGTGAATTATAATAAACAATGTTATCTTAATAAAATCTATTTTTGTCATCTAGCAGGTGTCTAAAAAATGTATATTCCATTATTGTAGGCTATTTAAACTTGATTTTAAAGAGAATTAATAAAGTTCACAATGGATACATATATGTCAAGATGGAATTTTAGTTTCAGTTTACATAAATCTAGTGTTTTATTATCAAAAGGTTTGAAACAGATGAAATAGCTACTGTTTTGCCATTTATGTCATGAATCAACATTTATTAAGAATTTAGCCAATTGCATTGAACTTGCTTGATCACCTTTCTTCATTTTTGAGAATGATAAATATTTATAGGACATAATTACCAAAAAGGAAATCTCAGTATTCATAGCCTTTGTAAGGAATTTAATAATTTTCTACAAATATATTTTTTTCTTTCATGAAAAATGTCAAGTTTAAGACATGATGCTTATTGCCTTTATAAGCTGTTAACAATTATACACAGCAGTCATCTTTTCTTGCTCTTTGCCTCTTTTCTTCCTGCCATAGTTTTAAGTTTTACAAGTAATCGTATTTTCCAATCAAGCCTTGAAATAAAGGGTAAGGGGTGAGGAATTTTTACTTGAAGGTGGCTTTTGATTTTAAAGAGAGAGGACTGTTTAGGAAGTACCATAATTGTGTATTATTTTCTTTCCTTAATTGGGGCTTTAAAAATTAATAGAAAACCTAAAATGTCTACATTGTTTAGGAAAGATATCTCATTTGAGGCACACAAGGCCTCATTTGTTTGTTGTTTTTCTTTCCAAAGTAATTTCTATTTATATCCAGAAATTTACTGTCCAGTCACATTAATAACTGATAAGGAAAAAGGTAACCAGTCTCATCATGATTATAGCAGATCATTCTGCTAGGTACCTCGTTTTATTCCCTAGAACTTTACTGTATTCTGTGATTCAATAATTTGCCTTCTCATGTATCCTGAAGGGAGATTTGTGGGTCAGGAAAAGAAAATGTGTTTGCATGTAAATTTTTCATAATAAGTATTCAGAGTGACATTTTATAAGACTTCCATGGAAATCAAAGGACATTTGTGATATGAAGTTGTTAGAAGAAAATTATTTTATGTAATTAAAGAATTAAAGATTTGTGCTTACATAATGATAAATCATTGTTTGGGGGAAGAATTCTCCAGTATTAATTGTGCACCTGACGTTGTGTCTAGCACTTACTTGTGCAATATTTATGTCTTGCATAACCAAAAACTATGTGTGGTTGTAATTTCAGAATATAAGAATCAGTTTATCCTATAAAAAACCCCACTGGAATATGCATCTATGTACCAATATATCTATGTGTATTTTTATCCTTAAAGCTATATCTATATATGAAATCCATATGTACCAAGGGAAGGCTGGCAGAAAAAACTTTAAAATTAGCTGACAGCCAGCCTAATCTGATAAGCTAACTACTTCCTGTAATAAAACATAATATAATTGCAATGGGTAAAAGTGGTATTTGGTATAAAAAGTAAAACAGACATAAAAATGAAGCCTACATTCCCAGAAGACATTATCTCTTTCAGTTAAAAGCATGTTGACTGATCAAAGAGGTAACCGAAGCTCATATTTATAAACTTCCAGCATTAGCACTTTTAAATTGGTCTTGATGTTGACCTGCTAAGATTTTTGTCTTATGCAGTAGAACGAACTCTGCACGTTGGGAAAGTACTTAAGATTATTTGTGTTGTAGGAGCAGAGGCCGTCATTCATTTTCCTTATTAATAATGTTAAATGTATACGGAGGAACACTTGACCCATGGGGCTCTCATGTGGCTGCTTAGGGTTGCCCATCATCCAATTTAAGGAGCCTACAGGTATTCCAGTAGAATGATAAGACAACAGAGTCTGTTTTCCCAAAGATTTAAAATTATTCCCTGAAAATAAGCCAGGCATTTTTGAGTCTTAGATGTGGGACTTGCCATGAGGTTTCATTTGAACTCAATGACTAAAAAGTTGAACTCAAGGGCTCAATGGCTAAAAAAGTTGGAAAACGACTGCCTTAGAGCCTCAAACTCTTTCATCTGCAATAGTATTCTTCATGCAGCAGCCAATGTGGTCCTCTTAGAGAGTAGTTTTGGATTAGTTAACTTTTCTACCCAAAGCTCTCCAGCGGCTTCTTACCTCAATCAGAATAAAATCCAGTGGTTACCAGCGCCTACAAACCCCAGTAGGCCCTGCTTCACTCACCACCTACCAAACCTCCCTGTCGCCTCATACCGTGCCACTCCCAGCCTGCGTCCCTCTCTCAGCTGCGGAGGCCTCTACTCCTACCTGCCAAGCAAGCTCTGATATCAGACCTTACCCTTGCTTTCCCCTCTTGTTGGCATGTTCCTCCCCCAGAGAGCAGTGTGGTTCATCCCTTCATTTCATTCAAATCTTTACTCAGATGATTTCCAACAAGGCCAAGCCTGACCACACTATCTAAAATAGTACCCCAGATACCCTTTGTTTTCTATACTCTGTCTTATTTTACTGCTTACACTTTAGTTTCACCTGACATAGCATATATTTATCATTTGCTTATTTCTTTCTTCCCCAATTAGAATGTAAGCTCCATGAGATCAGGACTTGGTACTGTTCTCTGTCATATCTTTAGTGCCTAGAACATGCCTGGCACACGGCAAGTGCCCTGATCAGAATAGATTTGTAGACTTACGGGTACAGCTTCTCAGTCTGCTTACTTTCTTCATGAGGAATAATTTACACAATACTATTCTGGTTTAGCACTTTTCTCATCTAGTCAACTAAGCTACTGGTAAAGGCTCAAAGTTGTTGACTCCAGTGCTTTCATGATAAGATTCTAGAATGCTTAAGCAGTGGTGGTCTCAAAGGGCAATGAGGCTTTCTTACAACATGATTTACAACGAAGGTGTAAGGAAAGTACAGGGAAAATAGAGCTTGCTTACATAGTATATATTTGGATTCAGCTCTATTAATTTAATTTCCCCAGGATTTCACAGACGTATATCATGAAACAGTGCTTGTTTTTATCCGTGTCTGCAACAGAAAAAAATTATGCATCCAAATGGAGCATAATTCTGCCTGTGTTACATGGTGGGTTCTTCCACGCTTGAAAAACTGACTTTCAAGCACAGCGCCTTGTTTGTTAAAAATGCTTTCTTCATTCCATACCAATCTCTGACAAATCTAAGACCTAAAAAAAAAAAAAATTCCAGACCATTCAGCTGCATTACCTTGTACCACTTCCATGTAACCAGTAACCTCCTTATACCTCATTTTATGTTTTTTCACCCCCAATTTTGAGTTTTTTAGGTTTACATCATTGCTAAAATAATATTTTATGATGAGCAAGGAGAGCAGAGTTAGTAAAGGTACTTTAAAGTAGTTTTTCAGGAAGACAAAACTAATTGGAAAAACGGGATTCCTCTTTTCCAACTTACAAGTGAATATTTGAATATAAGTCAACAAACTTATGGAAGAGACATGTCACAGAAGTGTGCTTACTTGACAGGATTTCGGGCAGCATCTGGATCTTGGGCTGTGACTGAGCCTATTGTCGTATTTATCTGAGCATCTTCTCTTATTTGTAGGATGTAGGCCAGTTTGCTGAAGACAGGGGGCTCGTCTACATCTTCCACCATAATTTTAACTGTGGCTGAATCTTTGAATGGACCCAGGTAGAGAAAGCGGGGTTCAATGTGAGGGTTGGAGGCTTCCACTCTGAGGCTGTACACTTTCTTCTTTTCAAAGTCCAAGAGCTTGCGGGGGGTGCGGGGAGGAAGAAGTGACATATTTAAAGCAGCCAAGACACAGAAAGCCAAGGCATGAGCCATTTTTAGTGCAAATCACTGAGAAATGAAAGTGATCATATTGCTTTGAGACATCACTACACAGCGTGATACTGGATAAAGACATTGGAATTCAGATACCACACAATCCTGATGGAAGTGTGGGCTGAAATCACGCACCACGGGTGCAAGTTATGATGGGCAGGAGAGGGAACCTAGAAGCAGGAGGGAACCTAGAACAGGCCCCCTTTAAAAAAAATCCTTATATTTGACTACAGGGAGCCTCGCCAGGGGCAGGTTGGCAAATATGTAGTAGATCCTTCTGTGTCAGATGTTGTCACATTTGGCTGTAATTGAACAGCTAATGAGTGCTTAAAATTTGCCAAGGGACTTCCCCGGCGGTCCAGTGGTTAAGACTCTGTGCTTCCACTGCAGTGGGTGTGGGTTCGATCCCTGGTCCGGGAACTAAGATCCCACATGCTGCGTGGTACGGCCAAAAATTTTTTTTTTTAATTTAAAAAAATTGCCAATATCTGAGCCCCACCCTGGACCATTAAACCAGAATATCTGGGGTGGGGATGGCAATCTATACTTTTAAACATCTCCCCTAGTGATTCTACTGTGCAGCCAGGATGGAGAACCACTGGTCTGCAGCATGATTCCCTGTTCTTCATTCAGATAAAATAGATTATAAATGGGTTTTTTTTTGGCGTGAGTTGATAAAATATTCCAAGTGATATCCTGATAAGGGCGTCCGGCTAATTACTTGCCGAAGAAAGTAATGATCATTGTTGTCAGGGGTCTTTAGGAGAAGTATCTCTGCTTCTGGAGACATAGTGAACCCAAATGCTTGTTGCTGACTTTTAGTTTTAGATGATAATATGACAAGGCTCACGAGAAACACAATTAATCAAGATGTTAGTGAATGTGATTTAGTCGGCTAGGCAAAATTTCAGTTTGAATCTGATAAGGCACTAAGAATATTAAAAAGGTTAATGCACACTAATGGGCTTCCTAATTATATTATAGTATAAAACATTGATCTGAATGTCACTTAAACATGTCTTATTGTGTTTCCAGATATTAAGGCATGTAATCCAAAGCTTAAGATGAAAATTTTTCTTCTTATTTACATCTACTTACGCTTATATTTACCAGCAAATACAACAATATGTGACAGGAGAGAGAAGATATTACACCATACATGATAAAAGTGAAATCTTTAAAAAAAAGTAACCAAAACTAATATTATTTTCAGCTTTGAAGCACACAGTTTATTGGTTTTTAATTTTTGCCATATTTTAATATACTGCTCCGTGATACCAAACAATTCTGCGGGTTAAATAGTGAATAAGTACATAGGGGAAAATAGGAATTTAGAATATAAAATCTTTATTATTGTGTTCCAAAAAGTAGCTAAAGAGCTTGCAGGAAATTTTGCTACTTTATTTTTGTGGTCTTTATATATCCTCTCTAATTCAAACCATCTTTATCACTGCTTGTATTATTCTCTTCCTTCAAAGCACGTAACGGAGTTTGTAGTTATACATGTTTCTTTGTTTATTTGCTTCCTTGTCCATGGGAGCAGTTCCCTGAGAGGAGAGACCATCCTGTTGAATGTACTGTTGCACCTCTAGCATCTAGAACAGTGTCTGGAACTGTTTTTAAATTTATTCTTCACTTACATTATTTATTTCATGTATTTTTTGTATATCATTTGTTTATATTGTTTATTTACTTAGGAAGTTTTTGATAAAAATTTATTGAAAGTATGGAATTAATGTATAAGATTATTGAGGACCCCTGAAAGCCAACCAAAGAACTCTCAATGTAATTAGACTAGGTCTTAAAAAGAAAATTAATAAAACAAGACTTGAGAGGAACGTTCATGTGAGATGTAATTGCCCCCAGTTACTTAGGGACCAGAGAAAAGTAAATGCCTTCATTTGTGTGGTATTTTAAAAAATGCATTACCTTTTTGACAGTTACAATCCCTTCCTGGGTTTCCTGATCGGTGATGACATCAAACATGTCCAGCCCCTCTCCCTCCGTAATGCTGTACTCAATTTCAGCATTTTCTCCCAGGTCGGCATCACTGGCTTTGATCCTGCCAATTGGTGTACCCGGCGGAGATGATTCAGGGGTTTTAAACTGGTATGTACCTATTAATCACCAGACAGAAATAAGTCAAACACAGACTAATTACACTCCATCATACTAAAAACAAAACCCATTTTCTAGCAGTTCGTTCACACATTACCATGGATGCAGGCAGATTTGTGCTTTCCTTAAAATAATTAATGGTGCCCTAGTCTCCTTAACGTTTTTACTTTCATGATTGTTAAGAATATTTCTTCTATTTCATGACCTGTCTCGTGGCAAAGGGAAAACACTTTTCTTGTCCTGTAAGTAGGCTTCCAAGTTTTTGGTGTGATTGTGAGAAAGTCTGAACTGTGAAAGGAGGGCGCAGAAGGTTGCAAAGACCCCTGTTAATGTAATCTAGCAGAAAGAATAAAAAAGAATTTAACCTGAACTGTGACTTTAAGCCAATTACTAGGTGTTCTTTAAAAGAGCTCTTTCTGTCATTGCTAATAATAACTGAAGGTGAAAACAAATTACAGCACTTCCAGAATGTATCCAAGTAGAGATTCCTTCACTCCTACATGAAGCTGGTCTAGTTGCAGTTAGGGATATAGATAAATACATTGAGAAAAAATCTCTTAATTTTTTCTAATTTTGACTAATTTCTTCCTTTAAATTTTACTAGTGTTTTTTTCTATGCATAGATTTCTCCCATTCTTGTATTTATATTAATAATTTAAAAGCTAGACATATACTTTTCTCATGTTGGAAAAGACGTTGAAGGAGAGTACATGTGAGTTTCAATTAGATCTGTCAGGCCAGCATGTGCTTAGGAACAGACAAATAGTAAAAACAAAACTTATTCTATTCTCACCCATTACATTTTGCCAACTATTTACACAAATTGCTTTGGAAAAAAAAATTTATAGACTATGACACTACTAAAATATAGTCCTTCAACAATATTTAATCCACTAAGTATTGATTGAGCTCATCCTTGGTAAAATGATAAAACATGCCAAGTTTTTCTCTAGTGTATTCCACTTCCCTTTCGGGTGCCTCCAGCCCCTTTCTATATTCTCCGGTCCCTTGCCTCGGGACATTACGCAGTAATGATCACAGTCTATTTATTCAAGGAGAGAGCACAGAGGGGGAAGGTCCCGTGGTATGGGTAATCCTTCTGTTATCCTTCCCCAGGACATCCCCATATGGAAAAGGAGGTTTCTGGGAAATGTGCTGGTGATTCTGATATTTTCATTTCAGGCCTCTGTGGGGGATGTTTTAGCGTTCATAAAACCTTTCTTCTCCCCGTTAAATCAGAAATTAGTTAGCTATACTGTTTTTGCATTTAACTGTGATTAAAATACTTGAAAAAAGTAAACAAGATAAAACTATTTCCTGTTGATCTGTGTGTATCTCCATTATAAAAGAAGCCCTTATTAGCTGACCAGCTTTACAAAAGGGCCACGCTTGAGTAAGTGGGTTTTCTACTTAATGATGGCAGCTGTTTTCTCCTGGAAGACAGGATTCAGGTAGTTTTCTTAGGAAATCATAGTCAGAAAGGAATTTTGATCCTGGAAGAAAAATGTCATTAAAACCAGTACCTACTTGAGGTCTCTAAGTGAAAGGGTCAAGTGTACTGCTTGAGACAGAGTGGGCATTTATGAATGCTGGTTTCTCCTTTATCTTCCTTCTTACCTAATCATGAGCGTTAAAGGTTTTAGAGATGACTTTTGGTATCTCAATTAACCATAATGTAGAAAACTATTTATGATTACAAATGGATTAAGTAAATAGTTATTTCCACAGTTGTATTTTTAGAAACAGTAAAATGATAAATCCTCCCCTTGCAAAGCCTCGTGAGGACTTAAGGGAGATTACATGCCTGATTAAATTCACAAAATATAAAGTCAAATTTTTCCTCACAGCAGCATGTTTGTATACATATGTTCTGCACAAGCATATTTATGCCTGTGGTGGTCTTATTAATAAGGAAAAATAAAATAATGATGTTGCTTTTATAATAACAGCCATATCAGACTATCGCTCAGCTAATGACCAATAAATGTTCACATCTACTGAGCATCAATGTTGTCAACTCATTTTAATAAATGTGCCAGTTCTTACTAAGTTCACTAACTTTGGCAATTAATAACGGGAAATAAATATCATTCTTAAAGTTACAGTTTTACAAAAGTGCACTGAAGACACTCATTCAATCAAATGTTCCTACTCTGGGGAAACCGGGGAGGGTTGTCATTGACATCCGTCAGCGTGATGTTCACTGTGGTGGTCCCAGACAATCCCCCCATCTGTCCACCCATATCCTTGGCTTGAATCACCACTTGGTACTGCTCCCTGTTTTCACGATCCATGTTGAGCAAGGCTGTCTTGATGATACCTATGGATATGAAGTTCAGAAATGGAAAGGGATATATTAAAAATACTTTACAAAATCATTTATTTATGCAAACAAACATAGATTGTCACCCACAATATGCATCACACTGTGCAGATGTCATGGGTGACCATTAAGATGATTGATTATAGTAATCAATCAATAGTAATCAATTTCCTTTGTACTGAAGGAAATTAAACCCACGTAGGGGAGGTAGATACATAGATACATTAAAAAAAAATACACCTATAATGCAAGGAGAATGAAAACAAGTACAAGTCACATCCTGCAATAGTGCAGACTGTAAGTGGTATAAATATTAAGTGTTATAAGATGACACAGCAAAATATAACTTGGCGTGTGGCACAGTGCTAGACTACTGTAGCTGCTTGATAAAGGACACTGGGTGCATTATGAGGAAATTAATAAAGTCATACATACTTGAACTGACTCCTGAGTTTCACATTACCGAATTAACTAATTCCTCAGCAAATATACCCACCATAATGAATGCTCTGAGGATCTTCTAAACCACAAAACTGTGGTCTTATAAAAACACAGCATCAGTTGTCTCATAATGATCATCTTGTATGATCCTAGAGAATTTTTTCCCTAAAGCTGACGTGAACTTTAGTTCAACAGGTCCCAGCAGTGACCAGCATTCTTCAGTTAGGTAAAATTTATCTCTGTTGTTAGATGGTTATAAAATAATTAGTTTAAAGAACTTCTAAAAGTTTGTCTAATTTCTATGTAAGGCTTATGCTTCAATTAGCAGCATTCTTTCAAAAATCACTGGAGAAGGCTTTATAACCTTCTCAGGTGGCACATTCCAGTGCTTAATGACTAGTGAAGCTGAAAATATCTTTCTTTATTTTTAACAAGAACACCTCAGACAACAGGTAGGAATGAATACCTCAATTTCATTCCTGCAGTGCTGGCTTCAGTGAAAGTGAAGCTGCTTTCTGTTCTCCAGATAATAGTACTTCTCTATTTAACACAGGAGGTCACCTTAGCCTTCTGTCCTTTAAGTTGAATAATTCTAATTTTTCATCCTCATTGTTTTTAAACTCAACATTTCCTTTTTCCTTGGGATTCTTTCTAAGTTCATGGCACCTCTTACATCGATTTCCAGCTGGATGTAGTGACCTAGAAAGGTTTTGATTTCTACTAACAATAATGGATGCTTAAAAATCGTATAAAAGGAACTCTACTCCTATTATGACAGCAAAAATATGTGTAGAATTTACTATACAATACAAGTGATATTTATTAAAAAACAGTTCATCATAAGATAGTATGCTACTCTGTGGAGATAGTGCAGAAAAATGAGATGTTGAAGAAGGATTCCATTAAGGCAATCCGTTTTGTTTTTTAGGGCAGTAGCAGTTAGGATAAGCTAGACAACGTGACAACAAAAGTAAAATTTGAGTGGTTTAACTGAACTGTAGTGCTCTCTGCAGGCCAGTAAGAAGCTCTGCTCATGAAAACCCTTAGACATTCAGGCTGGAGACCCACTTGATACTGGTTTCCATCCATGATCACTGTGGCAAGAGGAAGGGAACATGGTGGGTTGTGCACCAGGTCTAAAAGTTTCGCTTGGAAATGACTCGTATCACTGCTACATTTTATTGGCCCCAATAAATCACATGGCTACATCTAGCTTCCCAGCAGGGTAGAGAGATGCAATCCTACTTAAATAACTAGAAAAAGAAGAATCAGATTATGTATAAACAGCCCTACTGGCTATCAGAAGGAGTTGGCCTTTCAGCTTCATCTCAAACTGGAAAAGAGAATAAAACAATGTGTAATTTTTCTGAATCTCCTCTGAATAAACATGGTGGATGAAAGATCCATTGTCAGATTTCTTGCTTAAAATGACTTGGATGTCATATTTACAAGTGTATCACTGGTGTTGGGGAGATGAATCTAAGAAAATTCCATCACACTGATTGTTTTTATTAAAAAATATGCTAGCTCAGTTGAGCATGTCGATTAAAATTACAGATGGTAGAAAGAAGATACAAAAGGAATTCTAACCTGTTTCTGATTCAACTGAAAAATAGGGCTGCCCCTGTAGGATGCTATAGACAATTTTAGCACTGTTTCCGTACGTTGGATCATCAGCGTCAGTTGCAGTGACTTGGACAACAAATGTGCCTGTAATGACAGAAACATGAATTGAAAATAAATTAAGGGTTAATGACGGGTCCTTGATACCCACACAAGGAAAAAGCACAATGTTACTTCTACAGAAAACTATCATGGCAAGGGAGTGAAGAACTACAGTGGGATGCTGGGCTAAAAAGCCTTGGATTTCTCACTCTGAAGGAATGTGATCAACATTAATAAATATTGTAAGGATTAAATTAAAGAGAAGCATGGGAATGATCATAACTTTGGGTGTAACTGATTCCAACCCATCTCCAAGGGTGAGATTTGATTGGATTCTTGCTACGGCAATTCTTTCAAGTTATCTAGGCCTAAATCTATTGACATCGTGCACTATTTTTTCTACGAGGATTAGTGTAGGTATTGTTTAATCAGGAGGCCGCTCGTGATTTTGCTGGAGATTTGCTGTGTCATAGGTGCTTTTACTCCTGGACTAGAATGTGCCGGTGTGGAGCCTGCAAATGCAGTAGCTATTTTGTGATCTTAGCAATGCCAGCCTGAGGACAAAGCTGAATAGGACAGAAAATTACACAGAAATATCTAGAACACAAATCAAACTGTGTTCAAAGTCCACTTTACTTTTGGACTTAAGTAATGTGACCAATAAATGCTTGCATTGTTTAAAGTAATTTGAATTGTGTTTTCTGTTACTTACAAATAAAAGCATCCTAAGTGATAAATCTGATAATTCTAAGAGGTTGAAAGACCTTGAACCTTATGAGAAGTAGTTTTGGATTAAGTAAAGAATTAATTGGAATAGCAGAAGATACACATCCAGAATTTATAATCCCAAAAGATGATTATAATTAAATCCACAAAGAAGGCTATGTTGTTTTAGATTGGCATTCTTATCTTAGAGACCACAGTTAATAATAACCTTCAAAGTATCCCTAACCCCCAAGAAATTCCATGCAAATTTTTACATGTATATTACAATGAGAAGAAGTTCCATGGACTTTATCTGATTCTCAAAGGGGTCTGTGACTTCCAAAAAGGCTAAGACCCTCTGATTAAGATCATTTTATGGCTGACTTTTGGTATTCATATTAGACAAAGAGTAAGCATACTGCTAGAATTCTCCTGTCCATGAACAGGGCAGGGAAGTCACATTTAGGGAATATTAGAATTTTTACATTGCTTTTGTAATATCTAACCAGTTCCATTTATTGAACAAATATACTGTACTGTGTTAGGGTTGGATGCTCTGGAGGTAGCATGTTGATGCATGAGATAGAGCACCCGTCCTTGTAATGTGACAAGGTATGTAGGGAAAATGAGAGCATATGATTTTAAAGCGAGGAGTAGTAGAAGTCAACAGACACCTACGTTCTTATTTGACATCAGTACAAAATTTGATTGCTTTTAGAATATGGTTATCTGGACACTTTGAGTGCCTGTTAGTTGCCAGGTGTGGTACTGGGGGCTCTGCACTTGTTTTCTCCTTTCATTCTTACGATAAGGATTAGGAGTTGATGTTTATTATTTCTTTTTTATAGATATGGAACTGGAGGATCAGAGACATCAAGTCATTTATTTACCTAAGGCCACATTGCTGCTTCTTAGTAGGGATAGTTTCAAACTTAGGTCTGTTTGTCGTCGAAGTCCTTTTTTTTTTTTTTTTTTTTTGCGGTACGCGGGCCTCTCACTGCCGTGGCCTCTCCCGCTGCGGAGCACAGGCTCCGGACGCACAGGCTCAGCGGCCATGGCTCACGGGTCCAGCCGCTCCGCGGCATGTGGGATCTTCCCGGACCGGGGCACGAACCCGTGTCCCCTGCATCAGCAAACGGACTCTCAACCACTGTGCCACCACCGAAGTCCATTTTTACTACCTTGTTATTGTCCCACTACCTTCATGTAATTCTTTTGGGATGCCTTTACTATCACAATAATGACATGTTAATTTATGATAATGATGAATGTCAACATAACTGTGCCTGTGTGCAGATTGGAAAAAGGCTTCTCTTCCTCAAGACGTGTTACTGCCAGCTACCCTCAAATATTTATAAAACATATTTAATTCTATAATGACTTCAAGAGTACGCTGCCCCTTATATTGTGCAGTTATACTTTGCACATCTTGTTAGAGTTGCCCAGTGTGGTGCTGATGACCAGGCTGTCCTTCATTAATTCTTCCTGCCCTTTACCACGTAGAGGAAAAATATTTTTCCTAACAAATCTTCCTCTTAAAAGAATTCTAATCCTCCTCTTAACTTTGGTGATCATTTGTGATTTTTCTAACAAAAAGTGACTTCCAGTAATGAGATGAATAACTTCTTCATTGGGAAAAATTGAGATGTTTTATAATCATTTCTGTAGATTATGTATTTTCCAAGTCTTAGAATTGTGAACTGAAATGTCTCTGATATCTGACTCTCAAAATTATGGAAATGTTTTTTATTATGTAATTTAGCCCTTTTGAACTTGACACTGAATATAACTTAAAACAACCCTTTACACAATAGTTGAACATTTGTCATTGTCTCCCCTGAAGTGTTTTAATGTGGCTGACAGTGATGTCAGTAGGATTTTTTTCTTAATTTAAATTCTATTTACCTTTTCCCAATCTAAGCAAATTAAATGCACACGTATTAACTTTAAAATTGGTAGTAGAATTGTGCACAAAATATTAATTTACCATATTAATGTCATGAAAGTCTCTTAATTTCTACCACTTAGTAAAGAACATATCCTCTAGACATCGTCTGCATATTGTTTACGGATTTTTTAAAAAATTTTCTTTGAGTCTCTTTCTCAAATATAATTACTCTTTAGTCTGGACTGTAAATTCAGGGCTTTTGTTTTCCATTGGGGAGATCCTTACCTGAAGCCTAATACCACTATGGGCTAAGAGAAATAGAGAGGGCTGCTGCCTTTCAGTCCAAGAAATAAAGTGGGCATCTTGAATGGGGGAGGAATTAAATGAAATGGTCTCTCCTCCCTCCCCCTCTCACCCTGCCACTTTTCATACCCTAATCACTAGAGGAAATGCTGTTTTCTTAAAAATAATAAGACTAGAGTAATATTAGGAGACACCGGTGCGCTTACAAAAAGGACATAAATGGACTCTTTGAAACACAATGCTTCTAGAATTTAGCAGCTAAGTTCATTCAATTCAGCAAATTTCACTCACAGGACTTGTTATTCAGTTGATGTACTAGAGGAAATGGTTGAATCACATCTCACTCACCGACATCAGACATTTCAGGAACAGTGGCCGTGTAAACCTCCTTGGTGAATATTGGTTCATTGTCATTGATGTCATGGATCTTGATGATGAATTCAGACTCGGGCTCCACAGGTCTCCCTGTTTTTCTGTTTATGGCCTGAGCTCGAAGGATGTAAACAGGTTTTTCTTCCCTGTCCAGCCTCTTGGTGGCCTGTATATCCCCTGTGTTTTCATTGATAATGAAGAGATCTCCTGCTCCATCTCCTGAAAGGATATATTTAAGTGATCCATCTCCTCTATCCTGGTCTGAATGTAACTAGTGTAGAAAAAAAAAAATTAAAGAAAGTAAAAGTCAAGCATGTGATCCTAAACTGTTTGTCTTTATGATGCAATGCTATGTTAACTTTCATTCAAGTCTTTCTAAGGGTTGCAGATTGTTCTCTTTTACTATTTACTTAAATCCTCAGTAGTAAATGCCATTCGTTAATGAACATGTTTCCTTATAATCACAGAGATTTCCAGAAGTGAAACAGAGCTTGGATAAAATTTAGTAATCCTGATTTTGAAGAATGGAAAACTAAAGGCCAGAGCAATAGTAAGATGCCCAAGGACATAGAGGCCTGGCGGGAACGAAACTATTTTCACTACAGCTTTCAGACCTATTAATACACTCTCCCCCTCACTTTTATGTACACAGATACACTAGACAAGCAATATACTACTGAGAAGAGGATTTTGGTTTTTGAATCAGAGTATACATTTTGCCTCTACACATTGCTATCTTGGTGAATTTAGGAAAGCTAGTCAATCTTCTTGATTCTAATACGATGGAGATTATAGTCAATTTTCTAGGAAGATGTGAAATTTATTTATGAAATTCAACTCAAAGTGTTTGAGAAACATCTTAAGTGCTGTCAGGGACAATGCCTTGAGACCACCCTGACTAGGTAATTTACAAGATAAATTGGAATAAGAATTTACAAGATAAATTGGAATAAGATAAATTTACAAGATAAATTGGAAAAGAATATTTAACACATATTTTAGTTTAATATGGGAAAGGACCTTCTAAAAGATTAGATTGAATAGTCTGCCTTATGAAGCAGTGGGTTCTCTGTTCCTGAAGGTCATCAAGCAGAGGCTCTGATAAGATTAACAGCCAGTGAAATGGGTCTGGGTAAAGGGTTGCAGTAATGAACGTGAAGATACCACTGAAGTGAAGAGGGCGATCCTAACTTGGAAAAGTAGCCCATGGGTTACTTATCCTGAACTTTATATCCACTCTATTGACTTCCCTGTTGTTTCTTTAGTTCCCTTCTCCCCACCTCAGCAAAAGTTGAGGCAGTATCTCATAGGTCTTCCAATAACCTAACCCTATTCACAATTTTTTTTCAAAAAGTGCTTTTTACCAAGGAGAACTGTTTTCAGATCTCAGTTGTAAGTGTCAGCTACATACAGACAAGTCAGCTTTAATGGCTAGTAGGACCCTGTTGGGCCCTCCTGGGTACAAGCCCCTCTGTGCTTCCTGTTTCTTGTTTGTAGAGAAAGGCTTTAGTCTCCTAGGTCTTTCCTGAGTTCCAAAGAGCAGACTCAAGCAGTTACTAATTAGGTAAGTGAGGGAATGCAGAAACAAAGGAAAAGCAAATAGTTCAGTGATAAAACAGAGTCCTAGTTCCTCCTGAAGAGATATACATAACAATCTGACATATATTTTTGAGTTCTGCAGAAACTAAGCTCCCCCACACAAGGTAGAGGATGGTGATTACATGTTACCACAAGCATGCAGATGCCAGATTCAGAAGGTTGATGATTATGATTCCTTGAAACATCACCCTGTTACCTCACCACCAACCAGTCAGAAGAAGGTCCAAGAGCTGCAATCCTCATGCCAAATGTTGCCTTTAAAAACCCTTTCGTGAAAGCCATTGGGGAGTTTGGGCCTTTTGAGCATGAGCTGCCCATTCTCCTTGCTTGGTGCCTCCAATAAACACTGTACTTTCCTTCATTACAACCTGGTGTCAGTAGATTGGCTTTGCTGTGCAGCAGGTGAGCAGACCCAAGTTCTGTTTGGCAACAATCTCTACCTTATTTCAACTCTGTCTAAGTGGAATATAGGCTATGTTACAACAGTAATGGCAACAACAGCAGCAGGTAAACCATCTCTGTGTTCTCTTGATTGATACTGCATGGAATGTTCAGAGTAATGTCTCCAAACACATTTGAAAATAGAGTCTCAGGGGAAAAAGGGACTTAAAAAATATGTAACCCAGACTTTCTAAAAGTATGTCCCATGGAATATCATTTACACAAAATGCTGAGGAAAAAAGCGTTCTGTGGCCCAATAATTTTGGGAAATACTTCATATTCTGCCTCTTTCTTAGAGTCACCCAGTGCCCATTAACTTAGGAAAGGCTGTGAGTACCTATAGTCCACAACTGTACTAAACATCATTTAATCTAGCTTTCCTGAACTTTCTTATGTAATGAATCCTTTTTGGGTGTGATCCGTATTGATATTCCCCAAAACAGTTTTCCAAGAAACTCATTTTGGGAAACATGAGATAGTTGAATCCATCACTGCGAGAGTCAAGAAAACTGAGGCTTCTATATGTAGTGTTTCCCAAATCACGCAGCTCATGTGAGAGTCAGATTAGAACTTGAGTGCAAGAAGAGGCTTATAGATTATTCCGTGCAACCTTCTCATTTTGAGAGATAAACTGTGTCTAATGCCACACAGCTACCACTAGTTAATAGCAGAGTTTGAGGAAGAGAATATTATTTATACAATTAGTGGCCTTGAAAGCAATTTGACAGAAATCATGCAAGGTAAGTGCGAATGGGGAGGAAATTGCTTAGAAGTGAGACAAACGCAATAAGAAATGTAAAACAAGAGCACTCCATGATTTGTGTAATGTGGTGTGCTAAGAAAACGCTGAAACCCTGACTACACAGAAAGAGTCACTGGGGAAAGTTTTAACTCTCCATCGTCAAATTCTTATGACTGAAGAGAGCTCTTAAAAAGCTATTTCATTAACTCATGAGTAATGAAACCAATGTCACTGCCCTTTGGATCTGGCTCTAGGACAGCCATGGTCAGCAGCCTGGCACAGTGCAGGGGGCACCACACCAGGAGTCCCAAGTGTGGGCCTTGCTCATTCTCTCTCTCTCAGTAGGACAGTCAATTAACTTCCAAGCCCTGGGATCCTTATCAGAAAATGAAGATAATTGAGCTACAGGACAAGGCTGTAGTGAAGCACTAAGAGACTATATACAAATACTATGTTAGTTCCTACATAAACATGCGATAAAAGCATGTGTTTTATAAATTATAAAGTGTCTTCCAAATTTAAGATATTGTTACTATTATTAGCTCTTAGTTCACAATAAACAGGTTTTTGCTTTTGACTTTGAGAACTTTGTTCTGAGGCCTTTGAAAACCCAATTTTACAAGCACATGGTATCTCTAAGGTAAAATCTGTTATCAAAAGCCAGTATTCTTCTATCAGGTGGCCATTGCTATCTTTCCACATGATTTATTATAGGCTGCATTCCACTAGATTATAGACTCCCCTCAGCCGGTTCTTTCATCACTTTCAATATGTAGTTGTTGCACAATTAGTAGGTGAATACCACATTGGATGACAAAATTTATTCAGGTAAAAGTAATCAGAAACTTATTTTTAGCTGTCAGGAGAGACCATTTCGATGACTTATAGAACAAACACCAAGACAATGTAAAAGGGCAGTGGAGATGCCAACCAAGAGCGTGAACAGGGATTGCTCTGCAGATCCCAATTCTGATTTATCAATATTTGAAAACTAGTGGGAAAGTGCATCTCTTCACTCAGGCATTGTATAATAATAAAACAATTTAACCTCATCTCCCTCCCAGTGCAGTGTTTGCATCTGATGGAGCGCACAGAATAGAAACCTCCAGAAGCCTTTGTGTGCTCTTTCCCCCTCTACTTCCCTTCCACTGAACCCCCCGAGGCCAGTTCTTTTTTCTCTTCTTGGGGAAAAGAGGAAACGTAAGAAGACATCAGTGCAAGTGAAAGCGGTGGTGACAAGCAGACATTAGGGGTTTATTGAGCTCTTAAGAGTTTAATCGGATTTTTTTCTTTTGTGATGTCATTCATCATGGCCACTGTAAAAGGCAGAAGTTAAACAACAACAAATAAAAGGTTGTATGCTGCCCGAGGCATGTTTTTTCTAATTTCAGTTTAATGTGGCTGTTCCATTAAGTTTAATCATCTGGCTCACTTCTAACGATTCACCATCAAGTAAAAATTATCCACTTCCCTCGGAAAGTCACATTTCACCTGGGGCTCGCAGGACTTTTTACTACTGTACCTGGAGCATTTTGTTGCAGAAGAAGCTCTTGGTCTTTGCTTGTTTTTCTGTTGACTTATCATTATTTTTTTAAGTGTAGCTCTTGACAAATACAAGGATCTGGGGTTGTAGATACGGCCCCACTGCAGGCATCGCTAAAGCGGTGCCAGTATCTTTTTATCTGCTACGTATGCCACCTCCCGACTTGATTTTGTCTCTAATTCAAAGGTATAACACTAACTGTACAGATTTTTAGTGGTTTATGGAGCTAGTTAATGCTGCCCCATTCCCCCCATTCCCTATGTGTCACTGAGTCACTTGTCTTAAGTCAGTAACCAAACTGAATCTTCTAAGCATATGCATTGCTGAGACAAGAAAGCAGAGTTTAAACAGAAGTTTACCTACATGGCACATCTGGAAGTACCTACAACAGCCTGAAAGGGACTTAGGGAAGGAATTATGTGATTCTTTTGCTGAAATAAAAAAATGGGTTATGACTAATATGCTCATAGAGTGTAATGTGGCCCTTTAAGAAATGTAATGATTGCTAATCTGAAATGTTATAAGAATCAGAGAACAGCTGTGGTGAAAAGATGTTGTCTGATTGGGATTGAAGTGTAGAAACTGGAGTTACAGCAGAGAGAACACCTTTGTGCTAAATAGATTGAATATTATTTTAAATTGGGAAAATAGATTTACAATCAACTTAGGACAAATTGAAGCTTAGCTGAATTCAATATGTATATGTATATATGAGTGTGTATATACATACATCTCTCTACATAATGCATGTATACATAATGCTAATAAATATGCTTAATGTAAAAATCGTGAAGAGCTTGTTAGGTAGAGTTTATGTCAGGAAGAAATTTCTTGAAGTACATGGCAGGGATTAGGAGTAGATTCTGTTTCAGAGATCATAGGGGTAGGTAAATAAAAATATCTTTTTTTTTTTTTTCTTTTGCGGTATGTGGGCCTCTCACTGTTG